TCTTGTGTACCATATGACATCTGCACATCTAGTGGTTTGAAGTAAAGTACTTGAACTAGAGCTCGAAGGTATTTTCTCTCTGGGCTGTGATTATTTTTTGATTCAGTTACAAGACAATAAGAAAATCTTTAGTTGGAGTCTCATGAAGTTCTGTTTGTGATGACGTCAGCAGCTTTTTTTGTGTGCATGTCTGACAAACCTGTACTCTGGATTATTTTGTTGCCCACTTCATACCCGCCTCAGCCCACTTTGTGCCCACCTGCTGCTGCCTCTCATTTATTTACAGGATAATTTACAGGTCATAAATCATTTGTTCACACTTTCCTTTTCCCTTTTAGTTTCTTTCCTGCATATTTATCAGTCAAACTACTCCTGCATACTTTTATAACCTTTCATTGATCAGAACATTCGTCTTGAATAAAATTAAAATGCTATGACATTTTGAATAATTTAACTATGTTTACAAAACTTTTCCTCACAGAAACACATTTAGAGCTCTTCAATCCCTTCAAAAACATAATGTTAAATTTATACCCACGTTCAAGCTCTATTTTAAGCTACTTTTAGCTTTTAGCTACTGCATTTGGATTTTTTTTAGTTTTAAGCTATGGTTTTTGCTAATATTAGCTTTTATCAGCTCTATTTAGTTTTCAGCTGCAGTTTTGCTACATTTAGCTGTAGCTATGTTTTTTCTACATTAACATCCAAACCAGCTTTAAACTTGTTCTGCTACATAAATTGTTTTGTAGTTGAACAAACTGAACAGATAGACAAACAGATAAACAAACAGATAAACAAACAGATAAATAAACGACATGAGCCAAGAAAAGGTTTATGGTGCCGCCAACTTTTAACAATGACTGAAGGAAGTTTGTAAATTTCACGGTTCAAAGAAACGCAGCCTTTTTGTTACAGTTTAGCATATTACCTCCCTACTTCGTTCATTTTTCGTGGACTCGCTCTATCGCGGTTTTTCAAAATAAGATTGGACATGACACACAATTGGCTGATTGATGGATGAGCGGCATGATCGGCTTGGAATTTTTATTTTAAATAAATAAATTAAAATTATTTAGCACCTGCCGCACATTTGTGCAACCCCCTTACGGCAGGATAAACTTCCTGCTGCAGCTGATCAGCTGATCTCCGTGCAGAGCGGAGAAGTGGGCGTGGCCAAGAGCACTTGCAGGTGGCTGAGTTCAGACGGAGGCAGGGAGCTGAAATCATGACATTCTGTGCTCTTTTAGAAACTTTAGAGTGTAGAAACATTGTTTAGAATATTGCAAGAGTGTGGGAAGGTTTTAAAATGCCTTAATATATAAGACAGACAGATGGATGGATGGATGGATGGATGGATGGAT